ATTGCCTCCTCCTGGGGATGCGGGCTCTCTCTGTTGGCGGGCACTTCGGACAATGCCGCCGTGGCCCATACTTTCACAATTCTGAATTGAGATGACCCGGCAGTAGCAGGCTTTGCGAAATTGATGTTGGAAAACGCCATCCGCTTGAAAATGCGGTGTACGCCTAACGAGGAGGACATCGCCTGGCACCGTGTGTCTCACGGTCTCACTCGAGGGGAAACTGGCGAGGCCGTCCATCAGGCGATTCGACTTCTGTTGACGCTAATACCCTGCTCGATGTATGCTCTCGCTGAAGTGCCCAGCAGGCGGTGTTCGGAGAGTGATCATTCTTCCGAACGCTAAGCGGCAATTCATAGGCCGAATGAGGGCTGCTCTGTCGGAGCACTACATGTCGCGCTTATCGCGAATCTGGAACAGGACAAAGTCTTCGGCGCAATCTCTCGTCATGGGGCGAGCAATCGCTACGGACGGATTAGTACCTCCGTTTCGCCGACTGGCGTTTTGTGCATCGCGCACGCCTCGATGGGCTCTCCATAAATGAGTGCCTCGACGGGGCGAAGGTGACTGGAGATTCCTGTGGTGCGGGTACCAATTGGAGATGTTGCCCTACGTGCTCTATCTCTGCGGCCCCCAAGCAGCCTCTCGGCAATTAGCCTTACGTCACAATGCCTTTTTCCAGAGGCTTTCAGCGGCCTCCAGGCTACCCGGGGAATCGTGGATTGACACGTGTGTCCCATGCGTCGGCGAAGAACTGCGGGCATTGTATCCTAACATTGTTGTGACGCACGAGCCGTCCAGTACCATCGTCGTAATCGATGTTACCGTGTCTTTCCAGTATATGATTCGCTCGAAAGTGTAGGTATCGAGGAGATCCATATATGTCAGCCGCTTGCAGAGACATTGGGAAGACGCGGGTACATTGTTCACGGCTTCGTCGTGGCCGTTCTGGGGGCCTGGCACTCTCACAACAACAGTCTGACCTCTTTTCTGCGGTTCGCGACTTTGATGAGTCGACGCATGTTCTCGGAAACAATCGCGTGGACTCGGGACGTACACGTCGAGCACATCTCGGGCATCCAGCAATAACGCGTGATGGAATCGACAGCACAGGTTTAGGTGTCCTCCGCGATCACGCAAACGCAGGCTTCCGTTCACGAAAATCAACCCGCGACCGACGTGAACAATTTAAACGTAGATGTCTCCGAGACCATGAGAGCGCAGCCACTCTCGAGCCTCTAACCATAACCAGAGTCGACGCACGAGCCTTAGTATCGGCGAAATCTGGAGCATTTCGCTCTCTCATCATTTTTTCGATTTTACAATATCTAGTCTTAATATTGGATTCTCTAACTGTTAATGTAATTCTGTACACTTCATTTCCAATAACACTTGAAGAAATACTAGACATGATATACAATAGCTTTCTTCCTCGATGCGAATGCTCCACTCCTCGCCGACTCTACTTTAATTTTAATTTTAATCTTATTTCATTCGCTACGCCTCTCTGGTTATATGTATCTTTATCTATTTTCAATTTTTCTCTTTATTATTTCACATTAATTTTTACTTATATTTACTTACATTTACATCAATACTTATATTTATATTAACTTACCAGCTGCAACTCTTTTTTTTAAATATGTTCTCCAGTGCGAAACAACTCTTTTCTTTTTAATATTCATGACTTCGGTTGCATCGCCAAGGCTACTTGCGCCACGACACAGCCGATGATATACAGGTTCATTCTTAAATTCTCTGGCGGGGAACAGTTGAGTTTCTATTCATCTTTTCTTTTCTTTCAGCATGTGCACACAAGGGCTTTTCCGTTGCTCATCCCTGCTTGCGTTCTATATTTGCGCGTGCTACCAGAGAGTACACGAGTGGAATCGGTAGTACACGGCGGCCGCGAGTGTGGTGAGTGCAGCCTCTAACAGCACCAGAACGCTCACAAAGACCCCGAGGGTTCACAGTGACGAGAAGGATCCAAGTCTGCACGGTCCCTCCTGAAGTCGCTTGGCGTTGTGCAGCTGTGAAAACAGCGCCTTGCAAGGACCATCTGCTTCGTCGTGGAAGACGGTGACCCAAGCGCGAAGAGCGGCGACGAGCAGGTAGGCACCTCTCCGGAGGCTCTACCCCTGGCTGACGACTACCGGACCTCCAACCACCGATCTGAGGTGAGGAGAAAGCAGAAGGAGGAGGATTCCTCC